CCGGTAACAGCGGGTCCGGCTCGGTTTGTTGCTCACAGCTCCCTGTGACACCGCGGGGCCGCTCGGGTCCTACCAGTGCAGTTTCTGCCACACAGTTTTGTGGTTTCCCCCGTGACCTTAAGCCCTTTCCTGCGCGCTGTCCTTCCCTTGGCACTGTCCCACTGCACTTATCTCATGTGTTTTCCTAGCACCTTAAACATCTGCGCTTTGTGAGGCTTGTTTTGTCTGTTTCGAGTTTACATCCTGATTTTTACGAGAAGGGAAGTGTTGATAAATCCCTTCCACGTCTTTGTTGTGTTCTTATCAAAGAATCTGGAGTACTTTCAGACAATATGTGCTGTTCAGTGGGGCATAGCCAGCCTGTGAGCACTGGCAGGGGGAAAGCAGCAGCCACCATCCCTCAGAAGCTTTGCTTTTCTCCTCAGTGTGCCTTCATTAAAGCCCTCACCCTGCAGCAGATGTGTCTGAGTGTGTTCACAGAGTTTCTGGTTGGTGTTACCCCTCGTGGATGGATCTGTGCAGTTTTGTCCAGCACATCCCTGTGACTTTCAGCTGCAGGTGCACACACACAGGTCTTGTAATCCAGCCACAGGCTGAACTTTTGGAACAAATGCCTCATTTCCTGGCCAGGCATCCCTTTTTTTCACATTATACCTCTGAGCCATATTGCCTCTGAGATGTAATACCTCAAGCATTCCTTATGGCTTCTCAACCCAGGAATTAATTTTGGATAAAAAAGATTCTTCCTCCTCCCTCCTCCTCCTCTGCCACCCCACAATAGAGATCCCTGAATAAATTGCCCAGTTGACTTTTTTGAGCTCTGTTTTATCCTTGCTTCATCCCATCTGTTTGTCTTTTAAAGTTTAGCCCTCTATTTTAAGTTAAATAGAAGAGAGATTTCTTCCTCCATCCACGGGTGTATTTATAGGATTCCTTGTGACTAATTTTAATACCTCTTCCCTCTTTTCTTTCCTCGCCTCCCATCCCTTCAAAGAAGAAGTTGTGTGAGGCTTAACAATTGCTTGAAGCCAGCATGACTGTGTTAAAGCAGAGGCATGAGAATGAATGTATTAATAAATAAAGTTCTCCACATTGAAATACAGGGAAGTTCTTTGGGGACCAATTTTGTGCTTCTTACAGGATCGCTGTGTGGTTTTTGAGAACTCATTTCCTGGCATCCTTCAAATGAAATGTCTCTTATTTGTATGTTTTAATCACTGTTAAAGTTGGATTTGCTGCAGAAATATAAAGCTTATGCTCTGGAAGCAATGGGGGATGATACAGAGCCTTCTGAAGTCAGGGTGGGATGAGGGATTAGGAGGGGAAGGCTGGCATCAACAACTTGAAAGGCACCTTTATCTCTGGGAAGCGGGAAGCTTAAATCAGGGAGGGAGCCCACTGGCAGCAGCACTGGCAAAAGAAAGCTTGTTTAAAAACCAGCAGTGCAGCCCAGCTTTTGCTCTTTGCCTGCACAGCAAATCTGCTGTGAAATGCAGCAAAGTTGTGTCTTGTGGAGGCTGTGAGGAGTCAAATGTCTCCCTTCTGCTCTGCCTCCTCTTGGCTGCTGAGGGCTGAAATGGCATTAACAGAACTGTGGGATGTCACCTTTTCAGCCAGAAGCTTTTATTTTCCAGGGGAAAAGTGTGAGAAGTGCTTCAAAGGGGAGAGAGACTGCCAGAGTGAAGGTGAGGACATGGGGACAGGGAAGGTCAGGAGGCTCTTTCCTTCTGTCTTTGCCTAAACTCTCATAATTGAATATTCAGAATTTGGAGGAGCAGCTCCCTCATTACTGTGCCTGGCCATCATCAACTCCAAGGGCTTCAATGGCAGGTTAAACACAAAACTGTCACTGAGCTGTGTCCCCAGAACAGGCAGTGAAGGACCCCCCATCCTCTTCCAGGTGACACCTGGGGAAAGACACAGTGGCTGTAGCTGCCCCTTGTTCAATCACGTTTGAGGCTGCTGATAATTAAATCTCACCCTTGCTTTGTGTGCACAAACCCCTCTGAATTGCAGTGCATTCTCCAGCCTGTCACAGCCATGTCACTGAGTGCTGTGTGCCTCTGGGCTTCAGTGGATCAGCTCTTGTGGTTTTTGAGGAACTTCTTGTGCTTTTAAATTAAAAAAGAACCTATCCATGGTCTGGTTTTGTTCCAGTCAGGTCTTTGGATAAATGAGTTTGTAGTTGTGGATTCTTGGTGCTGTTGAAATAAGTAAAACAGGGTTTTCTGAAAGCAAGCCTGTAGCAGATGTGAAAAGAAAGGACTGGAGTGAATTCCTTTCCAGACCTTGCAGGAGGGTCCTCTCCTGGGTAAGTGAGTGTCTTGGGCTTAGAATAAAAGAGAGCTAAAGGAGGAAAATTGTGTGGAAAATTGCATTCTTAAAGAAAATGTCCAGCTGCAAAAATTAATCTCCCAAATCCTCCAGCTCTTAAGCATTTAATGAGAGAAAATACTTGCATGGGGAGGAATATTAAACTCTGCCTTGCTTGGCTTGTGCTGGGATACAGGACTTCCAGGGAGCTCCCATCTGCAGCCACCACAAAGGGTCAGAATCCTGCAAAGTCGACAGGAATTCAGGCCACATCCAGAAAAATGTGCTCCCCGTGGTGCTGATGGTTTTCTGACTGGGCTGGGTAATTTTTCTTTGCAGCTCCAGCAGCTGAAGGAGACAGGGAGAAGCTCTTGCATCACCTGGATGCACAGTAATGAATGTGAGCTGCCCTTCCCCAGCACATCTTATCTGAGCATCTCACACAAACTCCAATTAACCTCCCCAGCCCCTGCCTGAGGGCAGTGACTAATAGGAGACTGAATTTCTATAGAAGGCAAGAAGGGAGATGTGAACCTGGCTTGGCCTTTCCCAAAATCCTGTCCTGAGAGTGATGAGAAGCTGCCAGGGTTTAGTGATTTCCCATCCCTCCTGAACTCCTGGGAAATGTTTGAACAGAGCTCTCAAAACACCTCCTAAGTGCAGTGTCTGTTTCCATCCACAAAGGCAGCCTGGATAGCCTTGAAACTCCAGGACAGTGTCTCTCCTTGAGCTGATGGGAGCTATAAACAATAAATGAGTGCACATTGATTTATCCTGTATTAGATCAGGTACAAGATTCTCCTTTGCCTCCTGCATGGAAATTGCTGGAGCCTCAAGTAGAGTTGCAGTGTGTTCAGAGCAGAAAGTACAGCTCAGAGTGTTGTACATGGAACAATGGGATATTGTCTGTTTTCTCACACAATGGGTGATGGCAGGGGGAAAGAAGTCATCTTTCAACTCTGGGTTTTTTACAAGAAAGCAACTGCATCTGCTATTGAGGTAAAAATCTAATTATTAGGGAGGTGGGAGAGCAACTGCAACAGCCAAGAGCGATGTTTTCTAGAAGGATTGTTGGAAAATGGGAACTTGTAACTACTTTGAGTGAGGTGCAATCTCACTTTCTGCTGCCTGAAAAGTGAATTGTCAGGAAAACCAGAGCCAGCCTGGCCTTTTGGGCAGGTTGATTATTTGGGAAGGTGAATACATGCCTGGCACTGCTGGGGACAAGCAGGTGGCCCAAGGGGTGTGAAGAAAATAGATTTCTCTGTTGGTGAGGGTGGAGGGGCTGCCCAGGGGTGCTGGGTGAGGGAAGGCCAGGGTGTGCTGGAAGGGGCCCTCTGCCCTTGCCTTGGGACAGTTCCCTGGTGGGATGTGGGAAGGGGCTCTCAGCAGAGCTGTTCCTTTTGTAACTGCCTGCTGGACACTCAGGGGTGCTTCTGAACACAAAGTCTAATTACAGCATTAAAGGATGTTGTAGACACCAAACCTGTCTTTAAAAAAATCCTTTACTAAGCCCCAGCTAGACACCTAGAATTTGGAGCAGTTAATATTCCTTTTGAGGCATGTGAATTACCTGGATTTGATGTGTTTGGTAGCCAATGCAACCTGAAGTGACAGAAATCTCCTCTGTGTTGGATCTGGTTCCAGAACCAGATTTGTGTTGGCAGTGAGAGGGTTAAACCTGTCCATGTAGTCCACAGCCTCAGCCCATCTGGTCATGGCATCATCTCAGAGAATCCTGGAATGGTTTGGGTTGGAGTGGCCTCAAAACTCATCCTGTTCCACCATCATGCCATGGGTGAGGTTTCCAGGTGTAAAACAATTCCTGAAGGGCTGAGGAAGCAGAGAACAAACACCTGAAACACATTTCCCACCTGTGGGAAATGCTGCAACCACACAAACCCTTGGGACCTGTGCTGCTTGTGGAGGCATTGTGGCTTTGCTGCCTTTGGAGGAAAAGAGGCATTTCAGGTAGATTTAATAAATCCTGCAGGATCTGTAGGTTTTGATCCTTGTGTGGAAGCAAGGGTTGTTCCAGAGGGGTTGAGGCCCTGGGTCTGAAATGCTGCAGCTAATTAAGGTGAAGGAATGAAGGGGATGAGGGAACAAGCTTGCTTTGGACCTGGCAGATTCCAAGATTTCTGACAGCCAGGCTTTTGGATTATCTGGTGCCTTTCTTGGATGCTGTGCAGGATATTTCCTCACGTCATGGCCCCTGGTTCTACCAATTTGCCTTTAATTAGTTCCAGCAGCAGCAGCAGTGCTTCTGCTGCTGCCTTTAGAGGTGAAACATGGCCAGGGCACAGGGCTGGGGCTCATTTTGGGGAGCAGCTCCTCCTTGCACCTAGGGTGAGTCAGGTAATGCCCCTGTGGGTCACAATCTCACCTGGGAAGTGCTGATTGCACCTGGTGCAGGAGTGGACAGGCAGGCTTCATTCCTTTCTTGTGAGGAGGTGCTGTTTTGCATTGCCGTGCATGATTCATTTTTCTTAATATGCACCTGCTTAAAATTTATAGAGAGAGGAATTTTTTCCAAAGCACGAGTGGTGGTTTTGTGGTGGATTGTTGGTTCTGCCTCTGAAAGTCTCATTTCTCTGACCTAACAGCCTTGCATTCTGCAACTTCTGCCAGGGCTCCTCTAATCCTTTCCTGGCCTAGATGACTTAAAATGAATGTTTTAAGCAAGCAAAGCGAAGCAAAAACTGCCTGTGAGATGAGTGAGGGGTGAAAATCTTGGAAATGGAAACGAACACCCAAAACATAAGGAGATTATTGTTTTCTCCTTCAGTACAATTCGTTTCCCTGGGTGATGAGCTCTGTAAGCTCAGAGGAAGGAGGGGAAATGCTGCTTTTTTAGAAGATATTGGGGATCTTTTGCTATGATGTTAGAAATAATGAAAAATATTTGTGCTCTGAACCTTCCTCTGGGATCTCACTTGTGCTGAGAATTCAGGTTTTGAGGCAGGGCTGTGCTTAAACACTTGTGTAGAGCTGGTGCCTTTCTTTGATGAGAGAGAGCCCTGTGTTGTCCAAAGCTCAGCAGCATTTGTGTGGAGACATTCTCACTGTGGCTCTGTGGTGCCTGCAGGGGAAGGACCCCAAGCACAGTGAAGCACCAGGAGGTATCGAGGGCTGCAGTCATTGTGGGCATTTTTTCCAAGCCTTCCTTGTTTTCTGAGCTCTGCAGGAGAGTGGTTTGCACAATGCACACGTTGTGTGTCTCACAGTGGGATGCTCTGTCAAACAGAATCTCTGCACTGTTGACTCTTTCACGCAGAGAGAGAAAAAAAAAGAGAAAAAAAACCCAGTGATTTTTGTCTTGAATGCCCCATGCTGTTCAAATCTGAGCTGGTAACTGCATCTACAAGGTAGAGAAGACTCGGGGTAGTGTTCCATTATCCTGGAGTCAAATGGTTCTTTCTCCTTTGTCATCTCCTGCAGCACTGGGGATGGAGATCACCTCACACTGTAAATCCAGGGGGGATCCTGCAGAGTGGGGCAAGGACTCTGGAAGCTCCACACTCCCTGAAGATGGGAGTGATGACCTTGATGCTTTGAGGGAGGGAGCCCCTGCCCATTGTGTGTCTCCTCTCCAGCACAACTCCCATCTTTTTGGGCTGAGAGCAGAAGAGCAGGGTGTTTCCTCCCTGAGCTGACTGCTTTCATTGGAAAATGTGGGATAAAGCCATGTGTCGTGTCATCAGGGGGCTCTGCTTTTTTTTTTTGAACAGGTGGTCCTGGAATTGTAAAAGATGTTAAGGAGTTTGAAAGTGTTGGAGCTGCAATTTTCAATTGACAGCTTTCCAGCTCGAACCGGTCACTCCTCAGCCACCACAGCTGACTTGGAAACATTTGGCTCAGGAAGCGGAACAACAGTTGGAAACAAACAGTGATTAGTTTTTTCATGGCTTCCCAGGGAACGCAGCACTTTGTTCGTTTTCCCCCCTCATTTTGTGGTTCCTGTGGATTTTTAAGGCACTGTAGATGCAGGATGTTCACTTCAGCCAAGCCTGCGTACTGGCAGATTAAAATGAGCAAAGGCTGAGCACGCTGAGTTCACTCATCATAACCAATATGATGCTTCTCAGAACTTCCTTTGCCCTTGGTATCTTCACTGAGGAATCCTGCCTGCTGCCGTCAGCCCCCCTGCGTTGAAATCCCATTTTACCCATTTCAATGCTGTAAGAAGTGCTGTATAAACTAAACAGGAGCATCTGGGAAGTGGTTAGAGTTGTTGTTGATTGCCTTTTCCTTATTGCCTTCAGGGGATTTAGGCTTGAATTTGCTGGAAGTAGAATTTATGAGGCAGAACGCTCCATTTCTGATCCTTAAGCTGGGGAGAGCGTGGTGAATTTGATCGGGCTCTTCTGCTGCCTCCCGTGTCTCTGGCTTTTGATCTGCACCTCGCAGGGCTCTCCCTGTGTCTTTACCATAATTGCTTTTTGCATGTGGAGAAGAAGGCTGCTTTTCACATGGCTGCTTGCTTTCTGGGAGCTGCAGGAGCAGGGTTGGGGTTTGGGCCATCTGTGAGTGGTTCTGCAGGATGCTCGGGCACCTGTGCCTCACCTGGGCACACCAGGGGTGACCTGGTGTTGGTCACAGCAGCACCTTGGCCTTGGGGACAGGTCCTGGGCATGGCAAGGGGACACTGCTGTGGTTTGAATCACACTGAGGGGGTTTGGAGCATCCAGTGCTGCTTTTTCTGGTGATGTCTGTTTGGAACAAAAGGCTTTTCTTCTCCTGCTTGGTGTGTGAGGGAAGAAAATTTAGGATGTTTGTGTCTGCACAGCTGTGTTAAACCCCCTGGTTCTGTGGGGCTGGACAGCCCAGCTGCACTTGTATTTCCCACCTAATGTGTGTGTGTTTCTGTGTTGCCACTTGGGAATGCCTGTGGTTTGTTCCAGCCATCACTGTTTTTGCAGAGAGAGAGGATTTTCACTATCCCCCACAGATCTGGGGAAGTTTATGGCACAAAAGCAAAGTGGATTTCACTAGAATGCACCAATATGTTCCTGGTCTTCATTAACCAAATGAAGAAATGCTTGTAGAATTAAGACTAAGGGATCAATCCTGGAAGTGGGAGCACTGAGGAAAATTCTGACATTTGGGTCAGGGGGATGAAGTGACCAAGTCAAAGCCCTTTCTTTTCAAATACAAGGCTGGTGGCAGGACCTTATCTCTAGTGGTTGTGAAAGAGAAGACTTAAAAATCAAAATTTTCTATACTTTGAGGCAGCACAAATGCCTAGAAAACAGAAATGTTGATGGAAGATTCAAAGCTGTTGGAGAGGCAGCAAAAAGTCACAGTACCCACATGCCTGGGCTGGCTAACACAAAAGATAAACAGATATTTAGATAAATATATATCAAATGAAGGAATAGCACCTGGAGGGGAGGAAAATCCTGAAGAGAATTGTGGTCAGCAGAGTTAAAGGTGCTCTAAAGGACTTGAGAAATAAAAAATCATATTAAATGATTCCAGCTTGTCAGGAGTTCAGGGTTTAACACTCCAACAGTGTTACAGGGAAGCTCAAGAAATACTGAATATATTCTATATTTGCTGAAAAGCCAGATGACACAGTCATTGTATGACCTATTCTCCCATCCCCACAGTAAATAGAGATTAAACAGCTGATTCTAAAGGCTGGCATTTAAAAATCAGCAGATGACTTTTGATTTCTGCAGCTGAGGCAGTGTGTACATTGCCATGACAGTGACTTTCTTCCAGAAGGTGTTTTGCACCAGGCAGGAGATTGCAGGCCAGCCAAGATTTCCAGGCAAACAATGGGAAACCAGCAGTGGCTCTTCTAAAATCTGGATTCAAAGGACATTTTTTTGTGTGTGCGGAAGACTTTTGAGTCAAAGTTGTCCATTTTCTGAAGATGTGCTTCTGTGTGAGGGCTGTAGGACTTGAAGCAAGGACCATTTGAGGGAAAATCAGCTGTTCAGCAGATGCCGCATCAATGGTTTAACTCCTTCCTTCCTCTCCAGCCATTAAATGCAACCTCCAGTTGCTGCCAGCAGTGGTTTCCATAAATGTGCAGAAGCCTTTTTTCCTAATGGAGAACAGCTCCCCAGCTCTGGGGGCTGGGGTTTTCCCTGCTTTTCCCTGCTCCTTTACACGTGTCTTCCTCTGAAGTTGGCAGCTTCTCTTCCCTGTGTGAGGGACAAGGCAGAGGAGATGTGGCAGTGTTGTATTTCAAAGGAATCAGCGTGGTGGAGTCGTGTTCTAACACTACAAAACACAATTACCTCCTCAGCATTGCTGCACCACAGCAAATAACTCTAATTGGTCTCAGCCTGTCATGGGAAGATGTTGAGAGTTTGTTATTTAACTTTTAAATTTATGTCATTTTCCTGCTATCCCTCTTTCTTCAGAGAAAAGAGGTCAGTAAGGCACATACCTTATTACTGCTTTCTTCATTCTAGTGCTGCTTTGGCCCTGCTGGAGGTTTGTTACCCAAATTAATGCTGGTTTCTCCCAAAGCTTCCCCTGTGCTTCCCAGTGCAGAATTTGTGACTTCCCTGGGGAGCTGCTGGTGGCTGGAGCTGGCAGTCGGTCCTGGCAGCACCACTGCTCTCCTTTAAAAGGCCAGATTGCAGCTTAATCAAACATCTTTCCAAGCTGCATCAGGGAAATCCAGAGGCTCTGCTTTGGAGAATTGAAATGAGGAACGTGCTCTTAAACTGCTGACATTGTGTTGTTACTGGAGCCAAAGCAGATCTTTAATGTGTTAAAAGCAGGAGACACTGGTTTCCCTTTTTGGAACAGAAAGAGGAAATTCCTTCATGTAACAGGATATGTTAAAGAAATGCTAGAGCTGAGGGACTCTGATATTGTCTCTTTCCATTACTTCCTCCAAAATTATGAATTAGAAATGTGTGTGTGTGTATTTCATGTCTGGCCTCTCTCTCTTTGCCTTAGGCAGAGCTGTCTCTCCTGTTTTTCCTTTTTGGTTCGGTTCAGCAAAACCTTAACTGCTTCCAATTGTTTTTTCCATTCATTAGTTGTTCCACAGAGCCCCTCAATGACTCAGATATTTAATTCCAGTTATGGTATGATTTTATCTCAGTGTGTGTGAAGCCTTTGTTGCTGTGATACGATCGGAGTGATGAGATTATGGAGCAGATTGGCTGCTGAAAGGATGGATAATGGGAGTTGTAGGTGATCCTTCTGTTGTGGCTTTGGCTTCTCCTTTCTGGTGCTGTTGTGGTTCATTTGTTGAGATAAGAAATAAAGGATATGAAACCAGCAGCAATTTGGCTTGACACAAGTGAGGTTCTTAATTATAGCTTCCTAATGCAACCTTTCATTCTGTGGGACTTTTACTGAGTAAAAATGCTTTGGATTGGACTTGGCAGCTCTGTTAAGGCAGGAACTCCTGTGCTCCAGTTTTATTTTGAAGGAGTGCCTGCTTCCAGCTCTCCCTGTGATATTTCATGGACTCTCAGATGCAGGAGGGTTTAATCCCACATCTGTCAGGAGGCAGCTTTGTGGAGCAGGGCTTAGACAGGGGGTGGTCTGCATCTGTCAGTTCATCTTCAGCTGCTGAAGTCTTGCTAACCTAATTATGGATTCCAGACATCCCAAAAAGGAGGGATCTGCCCCTCTGCCTCTTGCTGCTATGTATTCAGGAGTGAAAGTTGTCCCAGGATCAAACAGTTCCTGGCCAAAACTTCCCACATCATATTTCAAGAGGAAAAAAAAGCTGGAGTGACTCAGGGATGAGATCAGAGGAGAGCAGGTGTCCTGGGGAGATGAGGCAGTGAACTGCACAGATGAGCATCTCCAACCAACAGAGCTTGGCTGCTGTACATGGGGAAAATGATCCTCATCCTCATTTTCCTGGAAGTCTTCAACTTAATTTTTTTTTTATTCCTTACAAATGTCTCTGTCCCCAGGAGGGTGGTGCAGGAAGTGGTGAATCACCACGACCCTTCTCCCAAGCCTCAGAGCAAAGGGTTAACTGGCTGTGCCTCACTCGGAGCTCCCTGGATGGAGCCAGGCTTTCTGCTGGGGCTAAACCATTTCCTACCATGCTTTAGCTCTTCTGGCATGGTGCTGCTTTGTGCCCAGGGGGTTTTCCATGTGTGCAGTGCAGATGTGAGTGAGGATGCAGCGCTCCCCTAATTAAACAGCGCTGCCCATCAGCTGTCTGCCGTGCAAGGAGCACGACTGAGAAGAGGCAATGATATAGAAAATGTGGCTTACCATGCTGAGGGACATCTGCTCCTCCTTCTCGAGGATTCAGCTCCCTGTGGTGCTGGAGGCAGGATGTGAGCTCGTGTTGCTGCATCCTCGAGTCGAGGCGAGGATGGAGTCGCCTTTCACTGCTCACAGGAAGTGGCAACGTCCGTGCTTTTTAAAAAAACTTTCCTGTGTAAAATAGGAAGCTGAAGTGACTTTATTTGTTGAGCTTCACAGCAAGGGAGTGCTGTGAGAATACTGTAAGACAAAGAGCCCTGAGGCCTTTGCATATGTTTCTGCTGTGCTGTTGTCTCCAAGGAAGAGCATGACTCAGTTATGCTGGCTCGGAATATTCCGAAGGAGATGATTTCTCCTGTAGCAGAAGGGCTTGGCACTGCTCTCTGTTGGAGATGCCCTTTTTTCCTAGGCAACAAACTGACAGCAAATTGTTTAGACTTCCCCATGGCTGTTCTCTTCCTTCCCACAATGTCCCCTGAACCAGGACAGGCACTGAGATGTTCTGGGCAGCAGGGACCAGCCCTGCGATGCTCCCGTTGGCACGGCACTGAGCTGGCAATCAGGCAGCAAAGGCAGAGATTTCCCTGTCTGTCTGTCTGTCTCACCTCTGAGATGTGTGGCCAAGTGCCAGACCAGCTGTGCTTTCCAGGCAGCTTTTTTTCTCTGGGCTAGGTGAGCCTGGCCTTGAAGAGACAAGCCCATGTGTGTTTGTGCCTCAGTGCTTGCAAGGAGCAGTTTCTTATCAGCCTCCCTGGAAGAGAGAGGGAAGATTTATCCTCTGGAGGGGAAGCTGCATGGCCTGTGAGCCATTGGGAGGGAAAATGCCATCATTGGTGCTGGGACAACTCCAATACTTGACTAAAATCTTGGCTTTGGGACTGAAGATGCCTGCACAGATTGTGTTGGGGAAGGGCAGGCATCTACCTTGTTTCCATGTTTTTTTATGGATTTGCACCTTCTGTAGTGAGTGCTCACTTGATGAGAGCTTTCCAGGAGAGAGGAGTGCTTGTGGATGGCTGTCCTTCTCCTTGTCCATCCTCACCACAGCCTCAGGGAGCAGCTGAGAGAGCCAGAAACCTCAGCCAGCACTGGGCTCCTGGGTGTGAGCTCAGGAGATCCAGGAGCACCAAGAGAGCCTTTGATCCTGCTGGGATCTGCCTTCTTCCTTGGACTCATGTTCAGTGCTGTGGGATTCCTGGTTATGTTTGTTCTAAACCAAAAGCTTGGGCTCTGTGACTGAATTTGGGAATTACAGATCCAGTGAAGATGGAGAAATAGAGAAGGTTATGGCAGTGAGGAATGCAAAGCCTGAAAAAAATTACTCCAACTGAATGGTAGAATGGTAAAATAATGGAATGCTGTCGATTGGAAGGAAAAGACACATTTTTGGAGAACAGATTGCTCCAAGCTCCATCCAGCCCTGAACACACTGGTGTCTGGAGCTGCCCAGCCCATGTGCCTGGACAGTTTGACCTTTCCCCCATGCAGGAAGTGATGCTTTCCTTCCTCTTCCCTCTTTTGATGGATCGGGGACCTTGCAAGGCCACGTGGATGAAGATGTGTCTGTCTCCAAATCTGTGTGTCCTTGGCATTTCTGGTTTTGCCTGTCAAGAGAAACATTACTCACACATGGAACTCACTGGAGCAACTTGCATATTGCATCTTACACTGACTCCACACATGATGCATGAACAGTGTGAATGACAGAATAAGGATATTTTTTGCTGATTTAAGTCACTTCTGCCTTCATATGTTCTGTCATCACGGGTGTACTTGCTAAAATAGCAATATCTGGGCAAGATGGAGACTTATCATGCAAACCATCCTCAAGCATTTAGGAGACAGCCCTGGGAAGTCCAGTGAAGGCTTTGGAGGCAGGCAGTGAGCCAGTTAGGGAATCTCAGTCTGTTTCAGTGCAAGGCCATAGAAAGTGTGTGCTGGCTGGCAGGCAGAACATCTGGCAAGCTGGCTAATGAGAGCCAGGCTGGGGGAGCTCCAAGGCAAATGGAAGAGCTGCCCTGCAGGGCTGGTTTATAACTCTCTGAATTTGTAGGAGGTTACCAGTTTGTTGGAATTTTGAAAAAATTACTGTTTATTTGAAGAAGTGCAGACATCAAAAATCAGGAATTCCAGAGTGACTTGAGTTGGATGTATAATTGCTGCCTGGGAAGGGTGATTTATCCCAGCCTCCTGTGGATGTTTTCTGTCCCTTATTCTCCTCTCAGCTCTGCCCTGGAGATCCCCCACGGCTGCATGAGCTCCTCTGAATGAGAGGAGTTTGTTTGCTCTCGGCCCATGGAGAGTTTTTCCTTCCCCTAAGCAGGGAATTTGTTTTGCAGAGGGAGAGGTTTGGGCTCTGGAAAGTTTATGCTCCTTTTCTTTCTTCCTTGTTTTTTTGTTTTTTATTGTAATGATGACATATGGAAACTATTTACACAGGAGCATGCTCGGCTGCACTGAATGGAAATGCTGGAGTCCCGGCAGTCTCGTTCTGGATGCCTTGTGTAAGCAGCCAGCTGGTTTTGCTTTTCCTTTTTTCTTTTTTTTTTTCCTCTTCCCCCCGCTCTTTTCATTTTTCCCCTCCCTCCCTGCCTCTCTCTGTTTTCAGGGAACGCCTGGGATAAGTTACACAAGTGTAAGGAAGGAAGCTTTGCCATCTGTGACCAGCTCACTTCTCTTCCTTTGGCGTGCCCCTCACGCCGCAAACTTCACCAAATATCTGTTTTCTTTTTCGTGCTGGAGATCCCTCGCTGTGCCTGCTCAGCACTTCCACTCCTCTCCCCGTTAGCTCATCGTGAGCAACTTGTGCTAAATGCCAAAACACGAGAGCGCAGCACATTCGCCAGCACCACGCTTGTGCCTGGCAGCTCCTCGTCCTGCAGCTCAACCTTCCCAAACCTCACCCCGGGAAACACCCAGGCAAAGGATCTCACTCCTCATCCTGCAGCTCGACCTTCCCAAACCTCACCCAGGGAAAGGATCTCTCACGGAGCTCTTCCTCAGAGGGGAGGAGGGGAGAAGGCGCTCACTTCTGCAGGCAGCAGAGCAGGATCTCTTGTGCGGAGCTTTGCCCCGAGGAGCAGCTCTGGGAAGGAAGGGGAGGCAGGAGCGGCGGGCTGCGAGCACCAGGGGCTGCCATGCAGTGGAGGGAGCTGCCTGCCATTTACCTCGAGGATCCCGGGAGCCCCGTGCAGAGATCCTCCTATCTCATTGAGCTCCATACTGATGGTAAACGCCGTCGGGGATGTGGTGCAGCACGAGCGGAGCCGAGCTTGCATTAGTCTGTGTCATTGTTATCATGGGAGCAGCTGAGGAAATTAGCTCGCTGGAGGGCTGCCAAGCACACAGTCAGAGGGCTGCTCTTGGAATTTATTATTATTTTTATTATTATTTATGACCCAGATGATGCTGTTGCCTCAGGGATGCTAGATCAACCTTCTGGTACCTGATGGGGAAGGAGCTGATCCACAAAATGCAGCTCCCCACCGGAACACTCGAGTGCCTGTGCTGTTGTCTGTGCCTGGTTTAGACAGCAGGAAAGCATCTTGATTTCTAGAGCTGTTTTTTGGTTCTGACTTGCATCTCTTGAGTGCTGTTTTGTATTTGCAACCTTGGTCTCAGAGCTGGGACAGCTCTCCTGTGGGAAGCATAGAGCAGGGTCCTGTCCTGGGTTTTGCTGGGGTGTGTCTTTTCCTTGTGTCAGTCCTTTCCAGAGAGGTTAATTTTTGCAAAAGAGCTGCTCCAGGGTTAAAGGTGATTTTGGCATCTTTGTCAGGGTTAAAGGTGATTTTGGCTTCTTTGGGCAGGGTCCAGTGTGTTGGTGTGTAGGTTAATGCTACAAACCTTTGCTGTTTTGGTCACAGTGTGTTTTGATCCTTGTAAATGTTGTATATTCTATAATGTAAAGTCCAGGTTCTGATTGAGATATGCTCCTCCTGTAACTGTTAAGCATCAAATGTGAAAAGGTTTTGCTCTCAGGCTGCAGTATGAGGGAGTCTGTCTTTTTGAGACACATCCCCAGCAAAAGCTTTATAAATAATAACATTTAAGAACTTTTTAGAGCTTGCAATATAAGGCTTCTGATTTTTGCATATGGCTGTCATCTCTTAGTTAAAAAGCAGACAAACCAGAAGGCTGCCATTCCAGCTCCGTGGATAAATAAAAACTCCATCATTCAGTTTTTTTTTTTCCAAGAGCTGTGCTAAATCAAGGGGTGTGGGGGAGGAACCGGCCTCATTCAAACATTTGTCCAGATTTTGAGTGGTATTTTAAGGGTGTGGGGGAAGCAGGGAAGAGAAACAGGCTTCGTGCTGCAGAATGCTCAGCAACCTGAGTGTGCAATCTGGAAGGTCTTCACAAACCCCAGAGAAATGTTATCTTAATTTGATTTGGGGGTGGAAGAGGCAGCTGTGGCTGTGCACTGGTGAAGGGGCTCTGATTTCTTCCCACTCCCTGCCTCTGCCAGCAGCACATGGTGCCATTTCTCTTGGCGGGTGCAGAGTTTTTGGCATGGGCTCCCTCTCCACTCCAGAGGGTGTTCTGGAGAGACTGAATCAGTAATTCATCCAGGATTATTTTGTCACAGCAAATCTTCAGCAGGCTGTCATGAGAGGGGAAGAGAACCTCGTGGTGCTTTTTGCCCACTCTCAGATAACAACTCTGAACACAGAGGGAACGAGCTGCCACACCACAGCTCCTGTGCTCATAAAAAAGGGGGAAATCAGCACTGCTGTGCTGGCAAGCTCAGTTTTACATGTACCCACTTTGGGAACATGAGGCGCTGGAGGAGGGAAGTCTCTTCTGAGAGCAGGAACAACCATGTGATGTGGGAAATGTCTGAAACTCTGAAGAACTGAGAGTGTGGCTAGCTCCACCACAGGCCCTAAGCAGGTGTCACTGCTGGGGGTTCTCTGCTCAGTATTCTTTGTCAAAGGTAAAATAAAACCCCCAGTCCCAGAAGAAGAAACCAAGTGACATTCCCTTTTTGTAGACTAATTGTCTTCTTGCTTAGTTTTCATCTGTGTTAATAGCACTGAGGCTGCAGAATGCAAAAATGGCAATTATTTTGGAGTTTACATACATGCCCTGTATAACTCCCCATGGGAAGGGCACTGTGGATGTGTAGCTCTTCTTGGGAGTTGCTGTTTTGCGATTTAATTGTTTTGGGTATTTTTAAACAAAACCTTTATTTACAAAATCTGTTTAACACATTCAGTATGGCATTGTTCTGTAGTTCTTTGCTGGTGAGAAGGACAGGCTCAGAAATGTCAGAATTAATGTGTGCAGTGTGAACAGAAAATTCATCTTGCGGTTTGTTTGCATCAGAGGGGTGTCAGTACTCATCAGCACCTCAGAGTGTTGATGTGTTATTTAGTGAAGTGCTGGGAGAAATGGGGCTTTCTGCTCAAAATACTGACAGCTTCTCTCCTCACTTTGGTGCCCCATGGCAGGGGCAGTGCTGTGTCCATCCTTCCATGGCCTCTGCTCCAGGGACGTTGCAAAAGCTTCCTGCTCTTCCTGCTCCTTCAGCAAACGCTCTTCTCCATGCTGGGAGGCTGGTGGCTGTTACCTGCCTGCTTGTAGATTGTGCTGCTGATAGCAAGCTTCAGGCATGACAGCACACCCCCCTGAGCCAGGAGAGCTGCTTGCTGCACTGAGTAGGAAGCTGTCTCTTCCGATGATCTTCCGGGAGCATCCCCGTGTGCAAGTGCTGCCTTTGAGCGTCTCTTTAAAGCTCCTACCTGCCAAGAGTCAATTTGTCAGCGTGCAGCTGCCACTTCCCAGCTGCTGTGGCTGCCTGTGATCCCAGAGCCTGCTGCTGATGGCTGATCCCTGTTTCTCTGCTGCAGATGGAGGCAGCTACGACGTGGTCAGCGATGCCTCCAGCCCCGCGGCCAGGGAGTGCTGCGCCCAGCAGGGCTCTGCCCGCCACAACTGGGAGATGAACTACCAAGAGGCAGCCATCTACCTCCAGGTGAGCCCTGCTGCGTGGGGGGACAGTGCTCTGCAGGAGACACACTGATTCTTGGCCATGGGAAACAAACAGCTTCTGTGCTGGGGCTGGAAATTCAGTGCCTTGCCAAGGATTCTGCTTCGGGAGTGGGGCAGTGTTGGGGGCACCTCCAGGTAGGCTTTGGGAGTCATTTGGGGCAGCCAACAACAAAATACCCAATCCTATCCCAAGGGCTGTGCTGGCTGGGGGTTTAGCACATGCACAGTTCTGCCACCTTGGCATGGAGGTTTCTGCAGCTGGTCACAGATTGTCATTTCAGTTGGTCACAGATTGTCATCTCCACAGTCACTCCAGGGGGAATGGTCGGTGCTCTCCTGTTCTGGAAGTGCAGGTCCCAACCTGCCTAGGCCATGGGGTGGCCCAGTTAGTGTCAGTCAAGTTCTGCAGGTCATGTGAGACATGAGGGAAAGCAGAGGTCTTGATTTCTGCAGGATTAAAGGATGCTGGGTCAGGATCAGCCCAGGAGGGAAATTTATAATGTTTAAAACAACAAAGAATCAAACCCCACCCATGCTTCAGTTACCAGAAACACCGTCCTTACTGCAACAAAGGGTTTGCTTTTTTAAGGTTGCTGTGCATCTGGTGTGAGGAATTAGCCACCAAAACTGAGCTTCTCCCTGAGCTGTCCAGTCCAAAGTGGCTGCTGGTTCCATTACTGTCCATCCTTTCTTCTCTTCCTTCCCTTTCAAAGCTCTGGGGTGCTTTGGACCCAGCAGGTTGTTTTTTTTGTTTAACCCACTGCAAGGTGACAGAAACCATTTGTTCCTCCGTGCTCTGACCCCGCTGGACTGAGAAATCTCACTTCTCAGATATTTTAAACCAGTGTAGGCTGGACCTTGACAACACTTGAGCTCCGTGGTGTGACAATGGCAGGGTGGCTTCAGCCTCCATCCCAGGCTTTTGTTTAAACTCCTGATTATTGGAGCAGCTCTGCAAAGGGTCATTGAGCTGTGCAGCTCTGATGGTAATGGGCACAGCAGGCCTGGCCCTTCGGATGGGGATGATTGCGGCTGCTGCCTTCCCCAATGGCCACGGTGACACTGTCCTTGAAATGAGGTAGAATCACATCCAGAGAGTTCTGTGAGCAGTGGCTGCAGGCAAGTGTTGGGTCTGGATAGGAGGGCTTTGCTGTCCAGGCACGTTTGGAATTGTTTGGCTCCCAGGAGGCAGGATTTAGGCTGTTTGTCATTCCACAAGTGTGTCCTGCCAGGGTGGATGGAAAGGACCCTGCTGATCTCAGCCTGGGCTCTGTGCAGAGCTGGCTCTGTCCTGCTCCAGCCCAGCTCTCTGACCCAGCAGTGTTTGTTCTGAACCCCAGTGTGAGCTGGATGCAGTGAGACACACTGGGAACCCTCTCCTGAGCGAGTCTGGGGAATGCTTCCCTTCCTAAAGGAGAGTTCCCTGACCTCGTTATCCTTTTGCAATCACAGCTATTCTGCTTTGATAGTAATAGCTTGGCTGTCCTTGCAGTAATTGCCTGCCTGGGAAGATGTTAATTTAAACAAAACCTCACCACTTCTTGTGCATCTGTGTGGCC